TATATTATATTATATTATATTATATTATACATATCCAAAATTATCAAAGGGAGCCTTATTGTAAAGTGTAAAACAGTACACTTATTATAAGGCTCCCTTATGACATTTAAACACATTTATTAATTATTAATAAATAGTGTACCTACTGTTTTACACTTTACAATAAGACTCACCCTGATAATTGTGGATATTTATAATGCAGTAATACAGTACAATATTTTATGTAAAATATGTTTTTCCAAACCATTATTGTGCTTAAAAGGTAGTAACCTTGTCTGAAATGTTTAACATAGCACCTTTAGATGTAATAAGTACATGAACAGATGTGGCTCACTATTTGGCAATAAACTGGACAGTTTTGTCTCTTTCTTGTCCTTAATTAATGCATAATAAACACACAGGAATGCTTTATAAAGTGTTTACAGATAAATTAATAACTTATCTATAAACTATTTAAAAACCATCTATAAGTGGAGCCTTATTGTAAAGTGGTACCCTGACTCTTTTCCAAAACCCATTTATCAAAAATTAGGGAGAAATGTAATACATGGTCATTTACAGGCTATGTGCAGAAAATAATCAAGTCTCTGTTTTTGTGAGGAGTTCATTCACTCACTTTATTTTCTTTGCTGTGCAGGATAATTCTGATTAAGAGACTCATTTCTAAGTGTTRAAGACAATGTAATTTTTTTATCACTTATTCATAAAGACAAATATTTTTAGCTCAGATTGTTGAAAACAAACTTGACTTTTATGTAAGCTGTAGTTTCTGAATCCTTTGTGTGACCCAGCCTTTTGATTCTACATCTTTGTGTGCAGAAACAATAAAAGTCTTGTGTTTGTCCATGTCGGTCATACCTCCAGGTAGGGCACGCCTTTCTCAAAGGTCCGTGCGTAGTCTCGCAGGAGCCGCTCCTCCTCCAGGAATTTGGCATCTCGTCCTTCTCCAGCTGGCTGGAAGAGGCCGTAGTTGTAAACGTCCCACAGAGACTCGCCGAGTGAGAAGATGATCTGCTGCTTCGCACTCCACACCGAGCAGTCCCGGTCAAACTGGAGACATCTCTGAAGGATAAAAAGAGAGAGAATGTCAGAGGTCAAAATGTCAGGCACCTTTTTCTGTCCAAATAGTTGCCAAACATGCCAAAAAGAATCAGTGGTTGATAAACGTCAGATTACTAATGATATAAACTGAGTTTATTTAGCCGATAAAAAAACTTGAGACATTTAAAAATGTKGGGTGCACAGTTTGAAGAGGACTGCTTGTTTTAATCAACTAATTTGATGTCAGAGAGAAAATGCTGGAATCCTTACAACACTAAACAAACTAACTAAATACATTAGTTATCGCACATCGTAAATCCTGACATTAATGTTTTTGCCTGTGTCAGCATGTGTGTTCATGTGTTACATGCATTCTTTGGACACATGTTAGTCTTTGTGCAGTAGTTGAAAGCCTCTATGTAATCATTTTTTAAATAAAAAGTGTTTTTAGCAAAATATCTCATCAACAACAAGTATTTTAACGAAACTTTTAGAAAGTAGTTATTAGATGTACATTTATGGCTAAATTTAAGATGATCACCACAGCTGATTAACCTTAGTCAACACAAAATGGTTAGGAATAAGTCAGTTTTACAGATATTGAGCTAAAGGCCCTGTCACACTGTAATGTTTTGATAACTTGTGCCAACTTATGAACATTTTAAAGACATCTACGTTGAAAATGGACTTTAAAAAATCAACTGGAAGCCTCTTTTAGGATGTCTAATGCTAATAAATGGATCAGATTTCCCACTTTATTCAGTCATTTAGGAAGACAAATTGAATAAGTTGGCATAAGTTGTCTAAAACGTTAGAGTGTGACAGGGTCTTAAACAGGATGTAGAAGCTAATAGTCATTCACAACACAGAGTGTGAGACCCTGTGTGAACATATTTTTCATGTTTGACAAAAATGGCTACAACTCTTTCTCATAGTACAATGATATTAGTCTTAAGCTCAGCAGCAATATCACAAACATGTATGCCTGTTCCCCAAAGTGCCTTGAAACATCCCTGGAGGGTTTTCTCTATTCAAAACGATTATAACATGGATTCAATTTCAAAAGTTATGATCTGTTAGTGCTCAAAGTATAGTTTAGAGATCAGTCTCAGCTACTGTCACACCAAATATTAGCTCAATATTTGTACAAGCGACTGAGTTGTTGTCATTTTTATCTTTTTTAAAGGGCCAATATTATGTGTTTCTCAGGCATATATTTAAATACTATACCATAATAAAGTATCTATGTCACCTTTAGCTGTTATTAAAATGCTGTTTTTATGTTTAAATAGAAAAAAAACTTATCTTCTCATCACTTCCTCTTCCAAACGCCCTGAAATTCACCTCTGTCTCTTTAAGAACCACCTTCCTCTTCCGTTTTGCCCATTTCAGTGTGTGTGTGTGTGTGTGTGGGGGGGGGGGTTAAAATGTATTTTTAATCTGAAAAGAGCTTCACTGAGTGACAACTACCGTATTTTTCGGACTGTAAGCCGCGACTTTTTTCCTGAACTTTGAACCACGCGGCTTGTAGACCGGTGYGGCTGATACATGTATTTTTTTCTTTAGCCACCAGGGGGCTCTTATGCTCCATTTGCTTCAACCACTCGCTTCCAAAAAAAGAAAGGGAAAAAAAAGAAAAAAGTGATCGTTTCCAGAGCCGACTGTTGTACCAGGAAGCAGCGATTTAAAGATAGTCAATGGCCAAAAACTCATAAAAGGGGATAAAACAGACATTTTTCACGGTGAAATTTGACTGATAAAAACTTTGGAGCTTAATCCAGGACCAGTTTGTGGATAAACGTCGAGTGAAGAGCCGAGGAATTTTTTTCCTCATTGCACTGCCCGGGGAAGGAATCTCATGCAGTGACGTATGCTGGAGCGGGAGGGCTTTCCCACCACAGCTTCAGAGCCAGCCTTACCCCGGGAGGACAGCGACACAAAGCAGCACTGAACAGATACCGCTGTGTGACGCAGCTTTTCTCAGCTTGTTTAACTCCGATACTGAAGAGGAGATTTCGATGGTTTCAGTGCGCCGGAGGACGATGAATGAGACTTTCTGTTGGACCAGAAACGGTTAAAGAAAACTACCAAAATAAGGTCAGTTAAATGAACCGTATTCCTCCGAACTTTACCAGTAATTTCTAAAGGTTTGCTTTTTATGTTTTAATTCCAGACCTCTCGCCTTTTTTTTTCCGAGAGTTTATTATTATTATTATTATTATTATTATTATTATTATTATTATTATTATTATTATTATTATTATTATTATTATTATTATTATTATTGTTATTATTTTGTACCGGTGAACTTGCCAACCTTTTTCTTAAAAATAAATGTGATGTTGAATTCACTTTTTTGACCACAATTTTGGGTGTACTGTTTTGTTTTGTTTTTACTGATGGGGGTGGGGGGTGCGGCTTTTAGTCCGGTGCGGCTTATAGTCCGAAAAATACGGTAATGTTAGGAGCTCAGAAGACAGTTTTAAGTTTCACTTTTGGTTTTTCACCCATGAGGAGAAGGGGTTATCTGCGGAATAAAAGTGGGCGTATCACAAAAGTTGGCGTGTCAAAAGCATAAACACTGTGGGCTACGAGGCCTACATGACGGTATCCTTAGATCCTGCTTGATCTCTTTACAGCCTGACCCTGACCCCAACACTAAGGTTAACCAGGAGAAATATGACCCAAGTATGGGTCTCCAGAAAAAGTGGTGCCACACAGTAACGCCCCTTTTTTTGCTTGTCCAGTCAGGTGTGTCCCTTTAAAAAAATCTGTCAAATCAGGTGTGTCGCTTCAGAATCGCCTTTCCTTGTGACACGCCCACTCGTCCGCACTCGTCCGCAGCCCGAGAGCCCGCAGGAGTCATGGGCGGAGTGTGTGGGGAGGAGGTGTGTGTGTGTGTGCGGGGGGGTGCTCTTCCATGAGGAAGTTTGGCTTAAAGACACGCCCCAGGTGCGTTTCTGGTCCCCACCGGTTGTTTTGCTCCTCAGTATGGGCGCCTAAAATCGCTGCAGGATTTCTCAAACATGCATGAATGAGTCAAAGCAAGGCTTTGGGCATGTTTCTTATGAGCGTATAACATTATACCACGATATAAAAGTAAAAAAAGTTGATTTTACATGATATTGGCCCTTTAAAGTCTTATATTCAATGACTTTRAAATTAGTTAATTTAGATTTTGAAATAGTTTAAGAGAAAAAAACACAAAAAAGAAAGAAAGAAAAAAAAACGTCTCTGCCTTCGTCTTTTATTCCTGTGTGACAAATACTTCATAAAACAGCCCACAGATTATTAGCTGTGCTTTTGTTCATTTCTCTCAGGTTTCTGTTTGTTTTGAATGGTTTCACAGATCTGAAAGAAACTGACCACAAAAGGAGCTCTTGTTTTAACAATGCTGCCTTGTTTTAACACCACAGAATGTTGTACAACCATAACCTCCAAACCACAGGACAGTTTGAACGTCTGTCAGCGGAGGGTGGAGGCGTGAGACTGGGCCATGTGCAGTGTGAAGGCTTTCCTTCAAAATGCTTCATCACCTGCCACAAACATGGACAATAAGAGAACTCGCGCCATGATTTGAACCTGTTTGTTTTCACACCGCGCTTACTTCTCGTGCTGCAGAAGTAGAAATGACAACAGCTAGATAAATGTTAGCTGTACGGAACGTGTTAAATTAACACCACCTACAGCAGAAACAACAAATCGCTTTTGTAAAGAAAATCTCTTTTTACTGCGTCTTCAGAGTGCTGTAAACCCGAGGCCTCTAAATGAAAAAATAAAAACCACCCTGAATGTGGGCTCTCTCCTCTGCGGCTTGCCTAACTCRATTTCGCCTTGGTTTTCTCATTTCCTCATATTTCTCTTTGTTCTCCACAGATCTGGTTTCTCTTTATTYAAACTCTAGAGGAGGAGAGAGGTGACAGAAAACACAGCTCTGACAAGGAATCGGAGCATCACTGAACAAGACAAACATCAATGCCATTGCTCCGGTCTGGGAGAACTGTACACAAAACTGCACAGCTCAGCACACTCCTGTACACCCCCCACCCCAACCCCACCGACTAGGTTGCACTGTTTGACAGTGTAGCAAACGCGATTGGCATGGCAACCAGTTCATTAAAGGGAGGCAGGCACCCGTTGCTGTAGCAATGTCTTAGTGGTCCCCAGGAGGTAAACCACGTGATGGAGGCGAGCATGTGTGTGTTTACGTACACACACGTAGCTGCGATGCACTTGTACTGTATGTGTATTTCTTTACAGAGTGTGTGTGAAAGGCTAATCCCGGGGAGAGGATGGTGTAATGTATACAGTACATCTCTGTTTTATTCACAACAATCTGCTTTATTTACCCTTTTCTAGCTCTGTTMCTTTTCTGTGGTGAGTAGTGAGAACACACAATTACTTCCACGTTCATCTGATCTTCCTGACTCTAATATTTACCCACTTTTTTCCCTTGTCCTGAACAGTGTTTAGGTTTGGGGTGTTTTGTGAGTTTTGTGCAGAGCTGACTGTGGCCACGCAGAAAACCTTCCACATTCTCCTCGAGCTCCTCACTCCTCAGCTCTCCCCAAACTCATTAAAAACCTATTAGATAATTAGCAATTACTGGTATATTGAGGGCAGATTAGCTGACATGTAGAACACTTGGCATGTTCAGGGAGTTGAAAGTGGAGAAAGGAAGCTGGGGAGGCGAGGAGGGGGATTCTTACCTTGGACGTGGTGTATGTGTGAGTTTGTCAATTCTCGCCTGCTGCCGCCACAAAGCTGACAGCTGCTGTATGTGTGAAGTGATGCAAACTTCAGGTTTTGGAACTTAATTATGACCACGCAAGACCCAAAGCAGACGCTGACATGATACCATTTAAAACAAAAGTATTTTTTTCCCTCTGGACCAGAAGAGTAATTCTATAAATATTTTCATGCGCTTTTCCTGCAACACAAAACCTTTCAATTTAGCAGCCTTGGGTTCTTTAAAGGAAGTAATTTAACATGAATGCTAAAGTCCACTCAGGGGCAAAATTACTTTAAATGTTAGTTTTTTTTTTATTTAAGGACGCAAAGCTGTTGGGCTTCACTGGGAAAAAATCAAACTTAAAAAGCAAAGGAAAAAAAGGTAAAAAGAGAATAAAACTAGTGTTTTTTTGAATTTGAGGTTAAAATGAAACAGACAAAATGTTCAGTCTATGATTTCACCAAATTTCTTCTCACRGGTTTTTACACAAAACTCATTGATCAGTCAGGATGTTGACAAAGAACATCTGTTGGTGTCCTGGAGTGTCTGATGGAGAACATTAGCAAAGGTGAACCATCTGGTTTGTAGAGTACGGTGCTCTGTGTGGTTTGGTCTTACTTCTTTACTATGCAGGATGTGTGTGTATTTAAAAATACAACCTAGGTCCAAAAAAGCAGAGACTTTGTGTAAAATGTGAATAAAAGCAGAATGCAATGATTTGCAAATCTCACAACCCCACTTTTTATTTACAATGGAACATAGTAARCATATTAAATGGTTGAATTGCAGGTTAAGTTGTGTTTTCAGTGCAGGTCATTAAGCCAAATGTATATCTGCCTTGATGCAAACTGAGAAATCAATTAATAATACTTAAATTCTTCATGGCAAATTAAAGCTACATCTCTGTTTGAGGCAGTATACCAGAGAGACTCGGCTTGAACTACTTCCTCATTTGGAAAGACCTCTTGTCAGTGACCTGTTTGTAAGAAAAACTTTTTCCAACAGATTAGTTAAACTTTGACAACTTTTGATTTTCATCTCCTGTTTTATAACAGTTTTAACTGATGGATCAGGCAATCTAAGAAGCAAMTGAAAGGTTGGTCTGAAGATGTTAGAGTCTGGTAAGGTTTTGGATGCACCTACTGTTTGTTTGATGTCTGGGATKCCGACGCGGAACACCATCATGGTCAGGAAGGTGTCCTCAACTGGAGCCATTGCAGTCATGCTGCGCTCCATGAGAGCTCGCCTCTTGGCTGCTATCAGGTGCTGCTGCTTGTTGGCAGCGTGGCGATGTTGCAGGGCCTGATTGGACATGTGAGGGATGCCCCGGTTCTCCAGGTTCCCGAGCCTCAGGGGCCGCTCTGCCCTCTGTCTGCCAAACACGATGGCTGCGGGTTTCACCACCTCGCCACCTTTGACCTCCCAGGACTGTCGCACTGATGTYATCTCCTTCTCTCCCAGACCCTCTAATCCTCCGTTCTCCCTGTCGAGTCCACCTTCGTCTTGTCTCCTTTCTCTTCTTTGCTCTTCTTCCTCCTCCTCATCCTCCTCATCTTTGTCATCCTGGCCAGGATAAAAATGCTCATTATTTCCCAGCATCCTTTGCTGTGCAGGGGRTCACTGCAGAGAGGGCTGAGTGAACTAGCTGTCATGGAGACAAAACATGGCTACCCCATGAGACTGGCTCCATCCTTGGACACATGCTGTGGGAAACGGACAGAAAACGGAGTAAACTTTGGTCACTGAGCTCTTATTTCATTAACAGAGTCAAATTCAACACTTAGAACGTGTGCAACAATGGCACATCTACCCACTGGCAATGTTAATAAGTCCACATGTGTGAATTAGCACAGAGCTGGTCCACATTTCCCATTTAGCCACTGGGAATGCACCAGGGAACAGCAGGCTGATGGAAGACAGGCTAAATATAAACTCTGTGAATTTGCATCCCAGGTTCTTTGCAGAAGGGAGTGAAGTGGATACAATCTACCATCACATGAGGTCAAGATCATTTCTGCTCTGTGGTAATGGAGCCACCAAATGTTTGGCTTGCAGCCCAGAGCTAACAACAAGATCTGACACCACAACTCCACCTTTAAATGTTGTGAAATATAAACATGTTAAGCCCACGTACTGATCTTTTTGTATTATTCTTAAGAAGCAATATGTCTGCATGTCTCAGTGATGTGACCACTTAATTAACTATCCCAACCTGCTGCACAAACATCTGGACAACTACAGCAGACTAAATAAAACAACAGATTTATGATCACCTGCTGATAAAAGTGACAATGTTTGTGCTGTGCTGTGTCTGTGTGTTTATTGTCTYTGTAGCATTAGCAAAATATTTCAAAAATCAGAAGACAGATTTTAATACAACATTCAGAAAGTACCTATTGACAAATGATTAATTTCTTTGGAGTCAACTCTAATCAAGATGGCCGCCACAATTTTACAGATACAGAGCGAAAACTTGGTTTTTAAAATGTTTTGTCTTCCTAATATAAGATGATTTTAACCACAAACTCTGGTAATAAAGTCAGTCTATGTATTTCTTTTAGGAATGTTTAATTTAAGTTAGGTTATTCTTTATTCAAGAGCTTCTCCTTGGACTGTTTGAAAGCCTCATATTAACATAAACACAACTGTCTGAGAGTAGATTTTGGCAGTCAAGCAGCTTACCTGGACATCTTAACATCTGTCTGTGTTGCAAATTTAATGAGATTTAAATAATATTAACAAAGCTACACTACAAAAAAAAAAAAAACAACAACAAAACAATCAGCTTAAACTAAGTCAAAATTAAAAAAAATTACTGTGCTCAATTTGTACTTTCAAGAAAATCTCAAAGTAATTCAGTTCTGGATTTGCTCCTATTTTAAACCAGTATAAAAACACATTCAAGGTCTTTTACTATAAAACACGATTGGACACTATTAAATACACAATATTGTATCCCTTTGGGTATTGGTAAGGGGAGAGAGTTTTCTCAAGGGGTACTTTTTTCTGCTGCCATATTGATTTCTTCCTTTATGATTCAAAGCTCAAAGCCTATAAAGAGGACCTGTGTGTTGCTGAAAATGTTGCTTTATTACTGGCAATTAATTGCTACCTCGATCAAAGTTCCCCTGGCGATGAATGATATCTTGCAAGCAATCCATCTGGGAGCAAGTCTGCAAAAACCTAGAAGCAATAATATTAGAGTCTGAGTAGATTTTGAAGGAAAACATGTTGCTCTCATAATAGAGCTGTATACTAAGATAATCCTATCCTGTAGTTATTTTTGATAAAGTTTTGAAAAATGACATTATGTGGAATGTCACACAGTATTGTGAGAACTTGCACAGTCTCTCGGCACTCAAAGTAATTGTTTTTGTGAATCACTCAGCTACAACCACAATAAATTTTAGCTCAAACTCTATAAAATAGGCCATTTTGTAGCCATGTTTTCTCAGTGGCTAAGGTTGCTCATCTGTGGAGAACTGAATCTGAAACAATTAGAAATAAAAGCACAAATATATAAATAAACCAATAAATAAACTAGATACARCAGTAAAATGGCAGGGGGAGGGGGAGGGACTCACTGTTAGACCCGATGGATTGTCCCTTATCAGAGCTAAACAATCAAAAAAATCTCAAGACCCTATGTCGAATAGGTTTTGAGTTATAGAAGTTAAAAATAAAGGCACAGGTAAGTGTTTTTTCTCCTTGCCTTTGTTTTAAACTAAACTTTAAACTTTAAGCTAAACTAAAGCAGCACAATCATGCACAGTAGATCTGCACACGAATCCTGCTTTGTCCTGTCTGTCAACCAATAGGAGAGGAGCTTACTCAAGGACCGCCCTCCTTATTTGCATAACGAGTCAAAAATGCATAAGGTAAAGAAAAAACAAGAGACAGAGAAATATGAAAGCAACACATGGAAATAAAAAGACTTGTGAGAAAAAATGTATATATAAATAAAATCATGTAAAAGACACAAAAGAATCTACAAGCAAAAAGAAAACGAAAATATAAATATTTTCAAAACAGTAACAAGTCACATTGTG